CCAGCCCGGCGGGGCAGTGGGACCGGCCAGGCCGGCGGCGGGCGCCGGACGTACCCTCCTTGAGCAGGCCGTAGCAGAGCAGGCGCGCCCTCTCCAGGTCTCCCAGCTGCCGGCACAGGCCCACGTACACCCTGCACAGGGCGTGCGTGTAGCCGGGCTCCGCAGACGCCCTCGGGGCCTTCAGCTCGGCGAGGATGGAGCGAAGCAGGGGATCCGCCAGGTGCTGCAGGGAAAGAGGGGCCGCGCGGGCTGAGGCGGGGGCGGGGGCCCCCCGCGGCTCCCCCCCGGGCCAGACAGACCCCGTTTGCGGAAACAGCCCGAGCGCGGCGCCCGGGGCGCGCCGACCCGCCCGACGTCCTGCACGCGCGTCAGCTCTGACCGTTTCATCTTACAGGGCTGCTGACGCTGTCCTGGCTCAGGGGAAACGGCACCAACGACTTCTGACCTGGCCGCTCACTGCGCGCCAGCGCGGGGCGGGTTGTGCCTGCCTGCGCCCTGAGGGGCGGGCTGAGGGCCGCAGGCGCTCGCAGGCTCGCGGTCCAGAGCGGGCACAAACCCCGAGGAGGAAGCAGACCGAGTCGTCCGGGGTCGGGAAACTGACCACGCGCCCGCGGAGCGCACAGGGCCGGGGGCGGTGTGGCACGGGGTGGGCACGCCCACCCCCGCAACAGGGGCTGTGTGGACGCTGCCCGTGGCCAGGGCCCGGCCACCCGGAAGAGCGTCGCCTCCAGCGCCGCGCGCACCAGGAGGGCTGGCGGGCAGGCGCGGCCAGCACCTTTTCACCCTCAGAAGTTTAGGTTATCTGATGACACCGTGACCGCTGCCCCAGCACCTGACCAGCCCTCACGTGTCCGGGGTCCCGCTGGGCACGCAGCTGTCGCGACGGGCAGAGCAGGGCACAGCCCGAAGCCGCCGGGGAGCACCTACCTTTCTGGTCGTGCTGAACTCGTAGACGACGTCTTTCTCCTGGTCCCTCATCACGGGCTTCCTGGAGATGTTCCCCACGTAGATGTGGGAGCGGATGACGGGCAGCAGGTCGAAGGGCGACTCCGCGATGCGGCGCAGCGCGCCCGCTATGGCCAGGTCCTGGGGCTCCGCCGCCCCCCTGGGGCTCAGAGGCAGCCGCGGAG